CCAAACAAACCCTAAACCCTAAACCCTAAACCCCTAACCCCTAACCCTAAACCCAACACACCCTAAACCCTAAACCCTAAACCCTAAACCCTAAACCCTAAACCCTAAACCCTAAACCCTAAACCCCTGGTTCCTTCTTGCTTCCCAAGGTGCAGCCGGGCCATGGCCTGCCGTTGCTTCAGGCCGCCCACGTACTGCCGGCGCTTGGACCGCTCCTGAGACCCCATAGAGCCCAAGGAATACGGGGTTTAGGGTTTAGGGTTTAGGGTTTAGGGTTTAGGGTTTAGGGTTAGGTTGGGTTTAGGGTTTAGCGCAAACAAAACAGGGAGCCTTAGAACGATTTAAGGTATACAGTGTACAATATGAATTAAGGGGCAGGGTGTATGGGTATGGTACCTATATACTCTTCAACCCGATTTAGGGCACTTCTAACCCGAACCTTAATTAAGGAACATACCTAGGGATCCTTAGTGTATGGTTTGCAGGTGTATTGCTCAAGTCAGGGGTCTTGGGCTCTTTGGGACCAGGCTTGCCTTAGATTGTGTGAGTGGGGGGTTGGGGGGAGTTCAGTTGAGGGCTTTGGGTTGGGGATTCGGGCTTGGTTTTCTTTGCTTCAATTCTCGAATGCTTTTGTGAAAAGGCCGCGAAGTCTTGTTGTTGGGACTCTTAGGCACGGACCCCACATTACAGTCGACAACGCCCGAGTCAAACCCTATACCCGAAGCCCCCAAAGCCCCCGAAGCCCCTTCTTGCTTCCGAAGCTGCATGGTTCACTTGGGTAGCTAGGAACAGGATAATAAGTATGATAACGTAACCTTGTAGCTCTATTTCGCGTACATCGAACCTCCAAGTTAACCCCCAAATCTAAATCGGAAACGGCCACAAAAGGGTTTAGGGTTTTGTTTGGGTTTTTTTAGGGTTTGGGGTTTAGGGTTTATGGTTTGGGGTTTGGGGTTTAGGGTTAAGGAGCCATGGGAGGGCAAGGTGCCAGGTAGTACTTCTTGGTGGCGCTGAACGTCCAGGCCATAAGCAGCCTTCCAAGCGGTTGAGGGTTTAGGGTTTTAGGGTTTTAGGGGTTTAGGGTTTTAGGGTTTTAGGGTTCTAGGGTTTTAGGGTTTGAGGGTTTGAGGGTTTTAGGGTTTTAGGGTTTTAGGGTTTGAGGGTTTGAGGGTTTGAGGGTTTGAGGGTTTTAGGGTTTAGGGGCTGAGGTCGTCAGGCTCTTGAGTTCGTGGTCCCTTTGAGAACAGTCCTTAGTAGGGATTATAGTACCTCCAGTAATAAGGACTGTTCGTATAAGGAGGAACATCCCAAGTGGTCCTTTTTGCAGCCAAATCCTGCTCAGTTTTTGCGCCTTGGGGTGTGGTAGAAGGAGGGGCGGGCTTGGGGGGACTGGGGGGGTGGGGGGGGACAAGCCTGCACCCACCCACGCACGATGTTGCCAAAGGAGGCCATAAGATCAATACACCCTAAACCCTAAACCCTAAACCCTAAACCCTAAACCCTAAACCCTAAATGTGGAACATTGAATCCTGGGTAAGACGGAGAAGGGGGGGGGGCATCATGCGCCTCGGGGCACAAAAAGGAAAGATTCCGCAACCGGCCCCTGTCCGACAACTCCTCTCAAGCGTCTTCAACCCAAGTCGTTTAGGGTTAGGGTTTAGGGTTTAGGGTTTAGGGTTTAGGGTTTAGGGTTTAGGGTTTAGGGTTTAGGGTTTAGGGTTTAGGGTTTAGGGTTTAGGGTTTAGGGTTTAGGGTTTAGGGTTTAGGGTTTAGGGTTTAGGGCGTGGGGTACATTGGATTCTGAACATTATCTACGGACATCTCCCCTGCTGTCTAGCCCACCCCTTCACTAAGGTATATACCCCACATCATCATAAGGGCCCCGACATGGTTCAAGGTATCTTCCTTAGTTACTTGGAGGTTCAGGGTACTTATAACCCCAATTATAACTGTACTTATAAGCCCCCGAAGTCCCCTAAGTAGGTTATAGGTAGGCTTATAAAACTGTGGTTATAAGTACCCATGAACCTCCAAGTAGGGGTATTGAGCCCTTTGGCATCCCCAAATATTCTGGGGCCCCGGGCAGCGTGCAGTGAAAGGGAATATCCTTGTGATGCAGTCGCTCTATGACATTGTCAAACCTGGGCAGGGTTTCGAGTTTAGGGTTTTAGGGTTTGGGGTTTGAGGTTTTGGGGCTTTGGGGTTTTGGGGTTTTGGGGTTTTGGGGTTTGGGGTTTGGGGTTTGGGGCTTTGGGCTTTGGGGTTTTGGGCTTTGGGGTTTGGGGCTTGGGGTTTGGGGTTTGGGGTTCGGGGGGCCTTGCTTCTGAGATCTTTCCGCGCGGTTTGTTATTTTCATCTTCGCGCTTAGGTACATCGTCTGGATCTTAGCCTCGTGCTGAAGCTCTTACGACTGACACGTGCCGTAGTCGATTTTTTTGTTTGCGGGTAGAGGCTTCCTGCCGTCAAACTATCCCTTTAAAGGACCTTGGGATGTTCTCCCTTATGCTAAGAGTCCTTAATCGGGATTTTAAGAGCGGTACTATAATCCCTAGTAAGGACTGTTAGCCTAAAGGGGAAAACCCCTTTAAAGGAGCTTCAAACGTGGATAAGGTCCCAGGCGCATGTTCTCGTAGACCGCTGTGGCCGTCAAGTAGAAGAAAGCGAGCCAAAACCTCCCCAAGGAGACTCTTACACCCCCTAAACATTTGTTGTTCGAGGGTTTAGGTTTTAGGTCTGGGAGTTATTTGTTTTCTTTTTTTTGGCGGGGGGGGGAGAGGGGGGGGGAGGGGGGGTCAGGTGATTTGTGCACAGGGGGAGGGCCTCGTGGCTTTACAGGGTTTAGGAATTTTGGTTTCAGGATCTAGCCTAAGTTGAAAGCCAAAGCTGAGCAAGGATACGACGCGATGGAGGCAAAATGACGAGGACTAAGCCCTAAACCCCTCTTTCATCCTAAACACTTTTTTGACCCCAGACTCCTCCCTGAAGTTAGCTGAAAAAACCTTCGACAAACTTTCGGTTCAGGTAGACATACATATAACGAGTAACATTCCACAACCTGCAAAGTCACGTCCATACTGCCTCCTAAACCCTTTTTACTGCTAGGACTGCTGCACTGCCTGCCTGCCTGGGACCTCCTAAACCCTAAACCCTAAACCCTTTCTGCCACTGGACTGAGGTCGGAACGCTAAACCCTGAACCCTCCTAAACCCTAAACCCTAAACCCTTCTAAGCCTAAGCCTGAAAACGGTCTACTTAGCCTTGCTTGCAGGTTGCAAGGCCAGGTATTGGTGGTAGAACTGGGGCAGCGCGAATGGCAGCGAAAGGAGGAACCTGCAGATTTGTTAAGGCTTAGAGGGTTTAGGGTTTAGGGTTTAGGGTTTAGGGTTTAGGGTATAGGGTTTAGGGTTTAGGGTTTAGGGTTTAGGGTTTAGGGCTAGGGTTTAGGCTAAGGGTTCAGGGTTTAGGGCTCTACTCTGATGGTCATTTATTTGGGTAGTTATCAGTTTCAGAAGTATGGCAACTATACTTAAAGCCCTCTGTAGGGTACATATAACCCTACTGAGAGTTTCCCTCCGAGCCCTCCAAGATGGCTAAACCCTAAACCCTAAACCCTAAACCCTAAACCCGAAATCTTATGGGAATTATGTATTGGGGGCTAGGGGGGCGTAATATTCGGGGGAAGGGGTTGGGCTTTGTAGGCTCTTAAAGGGTTAAGGGTTTAAAGGGTTGACCCTAAAACCCTAAACAACCAATGAGCCGCCCAGGAATTCTTGACGGCACCTGAGAGAGGACACTTTGGGAGGGTTTAGGCTTGAAGTGTCACCAGAACTCAACCCTAAACCCTAAACCCTGAACTCTGGGGACCCCGGCAGCATCAAAATCTGGCAGGCTGTGTGGCCCTGGAGAGTGCAGTCGAGCTTCGATGCCTGAGCTTCGGGAGTTTAGGGTTTAGGGTTTAGGGTTGAGGGTTCAGGGCTTAGGGCTAAGGGCTTAGGTTCCCAAGAGAGCCCTTAGAATCCCTTACTTCACGGAATAGACCTTCACCTAGAAAGGGCTCCTTAGCATGATTTAAGGTCGATTCCTTAGTCCAGGGGTAGTGGGCTCTTCGGGACTTATCAAGAGTTTAGGGAGGGCTTGTGGCGGTGATTGAGAAAGTTTGGGCTTTAGAGTTTCGACTCTCCCTCTAGCGCGCGGACCGGGAACGGGGGACGACGGTCCACAGCGCGTGCGTTCTCAAAGGTTGCTGGAAGGTTCATGGGTAGCTAGAAGTAGGGCTATAGGTAAGGTACCTATACTTGTAAGCCGTTTTCCTTGTTCGGGTGCTTCTCACCCTACTTGAAAATACCCATCCCTAAGCCCTAAACCCTAAACCCTAAACCTCCAGGTGACGAGTGGTCCACTTCCTGTGGAATCGGCTCCTGCTTAGCTTGTTGTGAGGGGGCCTTCAGCCCTTTTGTGTCCGTAAGGGAGGTGTTTGGGGTTTAGGGTTTAGTGTTGAGGGTTGTGCAGAGAGCCCAATATCCCTCAAGCAAGGAACAGACCCCAAACCATGTAGGAATCCCCACTATGAGCCGGCCATGATCTCTGCTATATTCCTTAATTGAGGGGACATTGCACTCTCTCGGGGCTCCACGCTCACTTCTTTGCTCTGCCGGGGATTTGTACACCTGCACTCAGGAAGTTGCAGTTGCATCCACTGCGAAGCGCTCTCCAATTTAGGGTTTCGGGCTTAGGGCGGGTTCCAAAACATAGGGATACCCTCCTTTTTTTTTTGTTTGTTTTGGGGGGGGGGGGGGGGGTCCTATAAGAAGGATTGGAGTTTCTTGTGGGCATGTTCGAGGTGCCTACCCCTTGTTTGGGAAATGCCCATGTGCAAGTCCGATTAAGAGAACAGCGGGCTAACTCTCTGCAACTTCGGCGTCTCAGGAAGGCCCAAACGGCCAAACGTGGAATGGACCATCTCCGCGTGGAATGGTGTTTTCTTGCCCTCAAGCAAGGGCTCAAACGACGATCGGTTGCAGGCTTTCGTCGCACACCTGTGGGGCCACGCACTTGCAGCGGCCATCCTCAACCCGCGCCAGGAAGGGGTTCGCCGGAAGCCCCGAAGGCTCTGCCAGGAGTGGGCAGGAGGCGATGGGGCACGGCTCGCCCGTGGGATCGCGCTGATCGCAACAACTTCCTTGCCAAGCGTAGCGGATGGCATAGGCCTTGCCTCCTGACTTCGTGAGGTCCACGGTGATGGAGTTTGGCCCAGCAGACGTCACGTCGACCGTGACCCAAGTTGTCTTGGTGTCGTCGTAGGGGCCCTGACCGGTGGCGTGCCCCGTGCCATCGTCAATGCACTGTTCCATCTTGCGCCCGGCCGTCTGCAAGCAGAACAAGGACCTGTTGGTGAGCACTTCCAGGCGACTGGACTTGATCTTGTGATAGTCCTGCACGGTCACCTTCTCAGTGTGGCCCAGGAGGGAGCTGTTGAAGTGCACAGTGACTTTGTTTCCCGACACGGAGCAGCCCGAGAGCGTCGGCCCTGTGTAGATGCCCTGCTGGCCGTAGGCCACGACAGCCCCTGCTCGAGCAAGGCGCTCGCCCACCGGCTTCTTGTCTCGGGGGTGGATGGGCCCCAAATAGAAGTTCGCCCCAGTCAAGTTGGAGCAGTACCCGTTTGGTCCCAGACAGCTCCAGCAAGCCGGCTTGGGATCCTTGTTGCAACAGCCTGCGCGGTAGCAGGTGATGTTGCCGAAGGGGTCGTCCAAGTCGAACGCCTGCGCCATGAAGGTATTCGGCATCGCCGGATTGGGAGCCACGCCATAGTTCGCGGTCTGCGCCCAGCGCATGGCGCCAATGCTGTTGCCGCCCTCGGCGCCACTGGGGGCCAAGGTGACGAAGCCGAACGGCGCGTCGGGGTCCGTGGTTCCTCTCTACTCCCCTTAGAACCTTTCTGAACATAATATTTCTAATATCCTATTTTAGTTTTATATCAACAAAAAAGAACTTCCCAAGGGGGGATATAGTCCTGGGGTGGTACTCCAGAGGGCCCGCCAGGAGCGGACCAGGCCCAGCATCATGCAGCCGTAGCCGTAGCCGAGCTGCGAGTTGCCATGGGTGCCGTGCATGTCGTTCTCGCCCTGGTACCTAGTTCATTCTTGGGAGGATATTAAAGATTTAAGTTGTTATTCCGTATTGGGTTTAAGTACCCTTAAAAATGTCAAATGTTACCCAACTATGACAAAGGTACCAGATCCAGCCCTTCAGCGACATGCCCACGTAAGGCATGACGCGCTGGTCGTGGAACTGCTGGTTTCCAGGGCCCAAGCTCACCTTGTTCATTGTTGGGATCATATTAAAAATTTAGACTTACACTCCTTAGCCTTATTGGGTTTAAGCACCCTTAACAATGTAACATGTTGCCCAACTATGACAAAGTCACATTCTTGCAAGTGCTCATGGTCTTGTTGTCCAGCCAGGCCTCGATCATGCTGCCGCCCACGGCGGTGTGGATCAGGCCGATGGGGGGCGCAGCCTTGCCAAGCTTCTCCACCAAGCTCTCCGCAAAGTACCAGCCTCGGATGGCCCTTATACAACCCTCTGAAAAATATTCCTGAATATGCTTCTCTTACATGATTCTCTTAAACCCAAGAAAGGGATGATATACAAAAATCCCCCTTAAAACCCTCTGAAAATATTCCGGAATATGATCCTCTTTTAAACCCAACAAGGGAATAATATGAAACAAAAATGCCCCCCAAAAGCGCTTAGGAGCCTTAAAACACGCTGAAAATATTCCCGAATGTGATCCTCTTAGTCTTAAACCCAACAAGGGAATCATATGAAAAAAATGCCCCCCCTAAAAGCGCTGAGGAGCAGGTAGAGGAGAAACGGAAGAAGAGGCAGTCGCCCTGGTCGCAGGCTGCCGGCTTCATGGTGGCATCCGAGGCTTGCATCCATGGCTGGAAGGGGTTCATGTTACCTTAGTTTAGGGTTTAGGGTTTAGGGTTTAGGGTTTGGGGTTTAGGGTTTAGGGTTTAGGGTGAGCACATAAGCCCCCCCAAAAAAGTGTACACTTTCAGTTCTATATGGGAATACTAGTATCCCAAAAAGTGTAAAGTGTACTCAGTCAGCTACTAAGTTGCCGCTCATACCCTGGATGCGGATGTCGAACTTCTTGGCCTTGACCATGTCAACGCTTTGGTTGCGCGACAGGGTGTACTTCAAAGGCAGGGCCATGTTGCTCTGGCCGGAGCAGTACCAGACGTCCCCGAAGGTGACGTGCTGCAGCGCGGCGCTGGCGTCGCCGGCGGTGGCTGTGATCGTCCAGTCGCCTCCCGCGAAGGTCGGGGGCAGCAGCGCCCGCCACGTGCCATCCTTGACGTCGGCCCTCAAGACATAGCTGCTTCCTGGCTGGGTCACTTGGAGCGACACCTGCGCGACGCCCGAGGCGGTGCCAAACAGGGCGGCCTTGACTGGGTGGCGCTGTAACACCATGTAATCACCGAAGACAGTCGCAAAGCTGACATTAGCGGCGGCCGAGGGAGAAGCGCAGAACGCAACCGCCAGCAGGGAGGCCAGCACAGATCTCGCGCCCAACGTCATGGTTTCCAGCTTTGGGGGCTTTCAAGGGGAAGCTTGTCTACTTCTTCGCACAACCTTGAGCAGGGTTCAGAACAATTCAGATTCACAACCCCAAAAAACGCATCTGCTGAATCATTGGTCTACAAGCATCCCAAGCAGGTCACTTGTTGAAAGACACTCCCGAGTACCTTTGCAATTCTCCCCTCAAATCGGAATCTCTCAACCCGAACCCCTAATCAACCCTACTTCCGCAGAATTGCTCAGTGTGGGATGGTGCCTTTTCGGGGCGCCGAAAGATGTCCCTCTCTCCCTCTCTCCCTCTCTCCGTCTCTCCCTCTCTCCCCCTCTCCCTCTCTCCCTCTCTCCCTCTCTCCCTCTCTCCCTCTCTCCCTCTCTCCCCTCCCTCCCTCCCTCCCTCCCTCCCCCTCTCTCTCTCCCTCTCTCTCTCTCTCTCTCTCGCTCTCTCTCTGCCTCCCTCCCTCCCTCCCACGTTCTCTCTCTCTCTCTCTCTCTCTCTCTTGAGTCCACGGGGCAGTGATCGAGTAGAACTCCGGGCACTGGCTTTTGTCATCGAAGAGCCTTGAAACACTCGGGTGTTGCAACCGGCGCCTCTATCAGCCCTGGGGGCTTGAATGACAAATATTCGGGTTTAGGGTTTAGGGTTTTAGGTTTAGGGTTTAGGGTTCAGGGGTTCAGGGGTTTGGGGTAGGCCTCGCGGGTTTTTAGGCATCGACAACCTCCTGGCTCTGGTGGCAACGCTGGTAGCTTTCTGGGCATGTCCGCAAACCCATCCACCTACACCCCTAAGCCCTAAACCGAAAACCCAAACCTGTCCACTGATAGAATCACATCCAAAGCAGCTGCTGGCAGGATGGGTTGAAGGGCGGCACGCCTTGGCTCAGGAAGTCTCTTAGGGGGGTTTAGGGCTTAAGGTTTGGGGCTTAGGATTTAGGGTTCTTACAAGGGAACCCAAACACTAAAAAAGGGGGAATAAGGGCCCGCTCTAGGTCCTAGCTTAATTAATGAACAGACCTTAAACCACATAGGGAGTTAGGGATTAGGTTTAGGGTTTGGGGTTAGGGTACAAAAAGACCTTCTAGCTTTATAGGAGTTAATCGTACGATTTCAGGTGCATTACTCAACTACGGGGTATTGGGCCGTTTGGGAGGGTACCCTTTGTTGGGGTTGCTTGTATAAGGGAAACCTAGAGTCCAAAAAAGAGTCAATAATCCCCATAGCCCAACACTTCTGAATGACCCTTAACGCTGAACCCTAAACCCTATGAACCCTAAACCCCACTCACTAAGTCAAAAGGGCTTCCCAGTACCGGGCGCAGCCAAGACAATGTCAATGTAGGGGGTTCTCTAACTTAGGGCCCCTTTTGGGGTTACTACTCGAAGGCCGCCCCAAAAAAATAGGGCACCCCCGAAGGGCCTAAACCCTAAACCCTAAACCCTAAACCCTAAACCCGTTTTGCAATCTAGGAGCTGGTAGCCAGGAAAGCCGCCCAAAGAAACAGCATCACGCCTGGGCGGCTTAGGGTTCAGGAGTTACTGCTATTTGCTTAAGAACTTCCCCAAATAAAAACTATTCGGCCTCATAAGGGGAAAATAGGGATTATGATCCTTTTTTTTTGGGGGGGGGGGGGGGGTTCTGAAGCAGGTAGTAGTTTAGGGTTAGGGCTCTCGCTTGGATTTCAAGGAGGCCTGCGAAGGCTAAACCTATCTGGGCTGAACCACGCTCCCAGATACCAGACGGCCCAAAGCCCTAAGCCCTAACCCTAAACCCCAAACCCAGAAGCCAGACAGCCCAGAGCCCTTGATCTAGACCCTAGAGGAACCTAGGAATGAAAAGCGTCTTCTTTTGGTTTAAAGGGGCTTATGAGGCAACCTGAACCCTAAAACGGAATAAGGGCCTACTCTGGGTAATTAGCCGATAGAACTTCATTACTCCCTAGTATGATTTGCAGTATATTCTTTCCTTAAGGGCCTACACCCTAAACCCCACATCCTAAACCCTAATTCAAGTGGGCTCTTGGGGCATGAAGACCTGGCATGTAGAAGACGACTGTGTGCTCTCTGCCCTTAAACGGTTTAGGGCCCCTTCGGTTGCACGCAAGGCGCCCCAGTACATGATTGCATGGCTCCACTCCACCCCTCGACGCGCGGCCCCCTTCTTCCACCTCAGGGAAGGGCTCAGGGACGGCTTGTGGTTTGGGGGGACATCAGGGACAAGGGTTTATGGTTTATTGCGGGGGGGCGGGGGGGGGGAGGGGGGGATTTGAAGGGGTTTAGGGTTGAGGATCTAGGGCACCTACGAGAGAGTCAGACACACAGACTGCAGTTTGCCACCTGCCTATCCATCAGTCAGGAGAAGCCGGGAAAAACGACTGTAGGAAAGAGCTTCCAATGTCATCATCCTATGTGAGGTCACCATACAGCCTGCGGTTTAGGGTTCAGGGTTTAGGACTTAGGGTTGAGGGTTTAGGGTGTAGGGCAAAGGCCAACCGAGGAGTAACCTAGGAATAAAAAGGGCGCCCTTTTTGGTTTTAAGGGGATTGTAAGGGAACCCCAAGCCTAAAAAAGAAAAAACAAAAAAAAGGAAAAGGGCCTGCTTCCGGTCCTAGAAAGGCTCCTTGGCATGATCCTCCTCATCCCAATTCAGGGAAAACCAATTCCCACGGCCTACCCAGCAAAAAAATGAGGCGGCACGTTTCTTCCTTCTAACTGCCCGTGACGCAATGTCACCTGCAAATGCTGTTGGTCCGTTTTGTTGAAGAAATCCTCCCCAGAAAAGGGTTCAGGTTCGGGGCTTAAGGTTTCCTGCATTGGCACCCTGAACAGACGGGCACTGGGCCCTGGAAGCCCCCCCCCCCCCCCCCCCCGCCCCCCCCAACCAAAATTCGAAGCTCCATGCCTGGACCGAAACCCAAGACCCAAGAGACCCAAACCCTAAACCCCAAACCCGACACCCAGCAGCCCTAAACACTAAACTCCAAACCCGACACCCTCTTCCACATAGCTCGACCTAAACCCTAAACCCTAACCCCTAAACCCTAGCCCTAAGCCCTAAACCCCACACCCTAAACCCTAAACGCTAAACCCTAAACCTCTAGCCCTCAACCCTAAACCCGAAACCCTTCTGCCCTAACTCACGTGTGCCGCGTCACGCCAAGGACATAGCTAGCACCAGGGCCACCGCCAAGCCTGTGGAGCTTGGGGTTTAGGGTTTAGGGTTTAGGGTTAAGGGTTAAGGTTTAAGATTTTTGGGGTTCGGGGTTTAGGGTTTTTGGGGTTTAGGGGTTTAGGGGTTTAGGGTTTAGGGTCTGGGGGTTCAGGGGTTTAGGGTTTTAGGCCTTTAGGTTTGGGGCTTGGTTTAGGGCTTAAGGCGAGGGTTGTGGGGTTTAGGGTTTCAGGTGTTTGGGGTTGTAGGGTTTAGGTTTAGGGTTTAGGGTTTGGGGCTTTGGGGTTAAGGGCTTCGGGTTTAGTGGTTCGGGTGTTTAGGCGTTTAGGGGTGGTCATTAACTTGCCCTGTGCTTCAGAGGCTGGGCGCATGTCTGCAAGGCTTTTTTAAAGGGCTTGAAGGGCCTTCGGGGGTTTAGGCGGTTTAGGGCTTAGGGTTCAAGGGGAGCGCAGGATTTTGGGGTTTGCAAAGCCTTTGCAGCTTCAGGTTTCGGGTTTCGGGTTTAGGGGTTAGGGTTTAGGGTTTAGGGTTTAGGGTTTAGGGTTGAGGGTTGAGGGTTGAGGGTTGAAGGTTGAAGGTTGAGGGTTGAGGGTTGAGGGTTGAGGGTTGAGGGTTGAGGGTTGAGGGTTGAGGCTTGAGGCTTGAGGGTTGAGGGTTTAGGGTTTAGGGTTTAGGGTTTAGGGTTTAGGGTTTAGGGTTTAGGGTTTAGGGTTTAGGGTTTAGGGTTTAGGGTTTAGGGTTTAGGGTTAGGGTTTAGGGTTAGGGTTTAGGTTAGGGTTTAGGGTTTGGGGTTTGGGGTTTGGGGTTTGGGGTTCTTTGGGTTTGGGTTTGGGTTTGGGGTTTAGGGTTAGGGTTTAGGGTTTAGGGTTTAGGGTTTAGGGTTTAGGGTTTAGGGTTTAGGGTTTAGGGTTTAGGGTTTAGGGTTTAGGGTTTAGGGTTTAGGGTTGTTCTGTTCTTTGAGCCGGGACGGACGTCCTGGTGCTTCGGGAGAGCCAAGCCGTGAAGACCACGGCGGTACACTTGGTTGCTCTTGCACCCCCCAATAAACGTTTAACTTTTGGCTCCCTGAATATGAAATTTCGAGGAACCCCAAAACTTCTAGTGATAAAGTTGTAGTAAAGTCTCACCTAGTACATTTGGGGATCATGTAACCCTACACACTAAACCCCATAACCGGGCATGTGGGACGACGGCTGGAGTCCCAAGAAGCTGTCCTTCTAGTCTGAAACCCTACAAGCTGGCTCTCGGGGTTTCGGGGGTTCAGGGTTGGGAGGGGGCTGTGCTGGGAAGAAACCCTACACCCTACACCCTACACCCTAAACCCTGAACCCTAAACCCTAAACCCTAAACCCCAAGCCCACCAACTGGAGGGCCGCTGGAAGGCTCTGCGGGCCGAGGCGCTGAGGAGGAAGATGACGTCTGGCAGAGCGTTCTCCTTTCGAGACCCCCCCCCCCCCCCAAGAGACTTCAAGTCTCCTTAACTAAGGGGTAGGGGATAGGGTTTAGGGTTTAGGGTTTAGGGCTTGGGGTTTAGGGCTTAGGGTTTAGGGATACTCCTTAAACTATATAAAGAACCCTCCAAGTTCTGAAGGAATCTTCCTTAACTCATATAATGAACCCTCGTGTTTCTTGAAGGGATATTCACCATATATGGATTCCTGGAAGCCTCTTATTTCTTGAAGGAATATGCCTTATCTAAGGGGGTATTGGAGTCCCTGGGCAGAACCCTCCCATGTCGCCCTCTCATGAAGGCATCGGCCTTAGGATGCCCCCCCTTACACTAACAGTCCTTACTTGGAGGTTCATGGTACTTACTAACCAATTATAACTGTACTTAT